TGGGCAAGTGGATTCCGATCGATAGTTGACATTTTTTGATTACCTGTTTTCACCATATAATCTGATCGATCTCTCCCGATTGACTCTAGATCAATTATTCCTCTCGGGAGAGAGCAATCAGATTACATGGTGAAAAGAGGCAATCAATATATTATAGCTATCGATTGGAATCCACATGCCTATGGATCAATTATTCCTGTCAGCAGAGATCGATCAGATGATGAGATTACATGGTGAAAACAGGCGATCAATACATTTCAACTATCGATCGGAATCCACTTGCCCATGGATCGATCGGGTGGTTGACTATAGATCAATTATTCCTACCACCCGATCGATCGCTGGGCAAGTGGATTCCGATCGATAGCTAAAATGTATTGATCGCCTGTTTTCACCATGTAATCTGATCGATCTTTCCCGAGAGGAATAACTGATCTATAGTCAACCACCCGATCGATCGCTGGGCAAGTGGATTCCGATCGATAGTGGAAAGTTACTGACTGCTTCTCTGCGCTCCCCATGTAAACCTCATAATCTGATCGGAATTCGATGACATTCATGAATAAAGCATCTCAGTGATGCCGATCGATTACTTTGATTGTCAATTTCCTTCCCTGGCCGATCGGCTCAGTTTACCCGAATTTGATCTAAATCGAAGTTTTCCTGAAACTCGCAGATATTTGTTCGACTCATTAGAAGCAATCAACAACATTTCACCAAATTGATCCAAGAGTTCACTAGAACTGCCATTCTTTGTCAATTGATCATTTGCTTGGAACGATCGATCGTATGATTGTATCAGTTTGTGTGCGCCATCGTGCAGCGATCAGATTGAATACGATTCGTAAAGCGCAGACCGGCCGTTTGATTGATTATTTTTGAGGAAGGCAAGCCAATCATCTGTGGCAGAACGTGATCTGTTTGATCGAACAAATGAATATCTGCATCTATATCAGACAATCGATCAGAATGTTGGCCATACACAGAACAATCTGAAGGAACAATTCTCAGATCGAAGGGATGAAATATAAAAAGATTCATATTGTATCATCCATCAATTTTCAGCAAAAACGATTTCATGGACATTTATTGTCATCGCTCTGAACAGCAGATCTGATTGTAGAAAAAGTAGATTGTGGAATGTATGGTGCAGCAAACAGTTATATTTATCTGCAAGGGGGGGCTATGATGGGGACTCTGAAGTAAGGGGGGGCTCTGATGGGGACCCTGAAGTAAGGGGGGGCTCTGATGGGGACCCTGAAGTAAGGGGGGGCTCTGATGGGGACCCTGAAGTAAGGGGGGGCTATGATGTGGACCCTGAAGTAAGGGGGGGCTCTGATGGGGACCCTGAAGTAAGGGGGGGCTATGATGTGGACCCTGAAGTAAGGGGGGGCTATGATGGGGACCCTGAAGTAAGGGGGGCTCTGATGGGGACCCTGAAGTAAGGGGGGCTCTGATGGGGACCCTGAAGTAAGGGGGGGCTATGATGTGGACCCTGAAGTAAGGGGGGCTATGATGGGGACCCTGAAGTAAGGGGGGGCTATGATGTGGACCCTGAAGTAAGGGGGGGCTATGATGGGGACCCTGAAGTAAGGGGGGGCTATGATGGGGACCCTGATGTAAGGGGGGGCTATGATGTGGACCCTGAAGTAAGGGGGGGGCTCTGATGGGGACCCTGAAGTAAGGGGGGGGCTCTGATGGGGACCCTGAAGTAAGGGGGGGCTATGATGGGGACCCTGAAGTAAGGGGGGACTCTGATGGGGATTTTTTCCAGCACAGAACCTAAAGCCGGCCATACATCAACAAACATTAAAATAAAGAAGGAAAACTGTCCACCAATCAGATGCAGCCACAGTTCAGGCGTTCAGAGGGCTGCAGGTAGGGTGTCACAGGAGGGGTTGTCACCAGTCACACGTCCCCTTTGCAGGCTGACCAGAGAAATGTTGTCATTTATTGCTGTCAGAGATTCGGAGTCGTCCCGACCAGCACTGAAATTACCCCTCTATGCCTAATGCAGTCTTATCATAAACATTCCAGAGAGACCCCCAATGTCTCCATAAAGAGGACCTGTCCCTGCCCCCCGTCCCCCATCCTCCTGTCCCCCATCCCCCTGTCCTCCTGTCCCCCATCCTCCTGTCCCCCGTCCCCTGTCCTCCTGTCCCTCATCCCCCTGTCCCATCCTCCTGTCCCCCATCCCCCGCCCTCCGTCCCCCTGTCCCCCGTCCCCTGTCCTCCTGTCCCCCCCCGTCCCCTGTCCTCCTGTCCCCCATCCCCCGCCCTCCGTCCCCCTGTCCCCCGTCCCCTGTCCTCCTGTCCCCCATCCCCCGCCCTCCGTCCCCCTGTCCCCCGTCCTCCTGTCCCCCATCCCCTGCCCTCCGTCCCCCTGTCCCCCGTCCTCCTGTCCCCCATCCCCCGCCCCTCCGTCCCCCTGTCCCCCGTCCTCCTGTCCCCCATCCCCCGCCCTCCGTCCCCCTGTCCCCCGTCCTCCTGTCCCCCATCCCCCGCCCTCCGTCCCCCTGTCCCCTGCTGACTTCTTCTATATATGAGCTCCAACAATGATGTCTCATCCATAGAATTCCCAACTCCTCTAATATTCTCTGTAATATAAAATAAATAAAAATCCAGCACAGGGATGGTGTGGATCCCTCATAATGGGCACAGGGATGGTGGTGACCCCTCATAATGGGCACAGGGATGGTGGGAACCCCTCATAATGGGCACAGGGATGGTGGGGACCCCTCATAATGGGCACAGGGATGGTGGGGACCCCTCATAATGAGCACAGGGATGGTGGGAAGCCCTCATAATGGGCACAGGGATGGTGGGAACCCCTCATAATGGGCACAGGGATGGTGGGAACCCCTCATAATGGGCACAGGGATGGTGGGAAACCCCTCATAATGGGCACAGGGATGGTGGGGACCCCTCATATTGGGCAGAGGGATGATGGGGACCCCTCATAATGGGCACAGGGATGGTGGGAACCCCTCATAATGGGCACAGGGATGGTGGGGACCCCTCATAATGGGCACAGGGATGGTGGGGACCCCTCATAATGAGCACAGGGATGGTGGGAAGCCCTCATAATGGGCACAGGGATGGTGGGAACCCCTCATAATGGGCACAGGGATGGTGGGAACCCCTCATAATGGGCACAGGGATGGTGGGAACCCCTCATAATGGGCACAGGGATGGTGGGGACCCCTCATATTGGGCAGAGGGATGATGGGGACCCCTCATAATGGGCACAGGGATGGTGGGAACCCCTCAAAATGGGCACAGGGATGGTGGGGACCCCTCATAATGAGCACAGGGATGGTGGGAAGCCCTCATAATGGGCACAGGGATGGTGGGGACCCCTCATAATGGGCACAGGGATGGTGGGAAACCCTCATAATGGGCACAGGGATGGTGGGAGCCCCTCATAATGAGCACAGGGATGGTGGGAGCCCCTCATAATGAGCACAGGGATGGTGGGAGCCCCTCATAATGAGCACAGGGATGGTGGGAAGCCCTCATAATGGGCACAGTGATGGTGGGGACCCCTCATAATGGGCAGAGGGATGGTGGGGACCCCTCATAATGGGCAGAGGGATGGTGGGGACCCCTCATAATGGGCAGAGGGATGGTGGGGACCCCTCATAATGGGCAGAGGGATGGTGGGGACCCCTCATATTGGGCAGAGGGATGATGGGGACCCCTCATAATGGGCACAGGGATGGTGGGAACCCCTCAAAATGGGCACAGGGATGGTGGGGGACCCCTCATAATGAGCACAGGGATGGTGGGAAGCCCTCATAATGGGCACAGGGATGGTGGGAACCCCTCATAGCGGGCACAGGGATGGTGGGGACCCCTCATAATGAGCACAGGGATGGTGGGAGCCCCTCATAATGAGCACAGGGATGGTGGGAAGCCCTCATAATGGGCACAGTGATGGTGGGGACCCCTCATAATGGGCAGAGGGATGGTGGGGACCCCTCATAATGGGCAGAGGGATGGTGGGGACCCCTCATAATGGGCAGAGGGATGGTGGGGACCCCTCATAATGGGCAGAGGGATGGTGGGGACCCCTCATAATGGGCACAGGGATGGTGGGAACCCCTCATAATGGGCACAGGGATGGTGGGGACCCCTCATAATGGGCACAGGGATGGTGGGAACCCCTCATAATGGGCACAGGGATGGTGTGGACCCCTCATAATGAGCACAGGGATGGTGTGGACCCCTCATAATGGGCACAGGGATGGTGGGGACCCCTCATAATGAGCACAGGGATGGTGGGAACCCCTCATAATGGGCACAGAGTCTGCAATAAACACTGGAGAACATCCTCCCCTCCCGGCACACGTTGGGGATTCGCTCTCTCGGTGTTCCTCTAACATCAGATATCAGTTTCCTCCACATTCTGGGAGGGGCGACTTCACAGCTAAAACCGTCTGCAATGTGGCCGAGTGTCAGCCATCTGAGCCGGCCAATCACAGACCGGCTGTCCCCTCTGTTGTGTCTGACATCGAACTTCCAGACAGAAATGGAGTCGAATCCTCCACAAATAACCCGTACCCCTCCCCCACCCATCCCCCACCCCTCCCCCACCCCACAGTCCTGGAATCTGTTGTTCATGAACTTGTTACTCCATTGTTCTGCTTCCTTGTAACTCCCTCCATGGACTCCCAAACCTCTCCTGCCCCCCTCACCTCCATTTGTTTGAAATGAGAAGTGAATATTAGTTGTGGTCATGTACACTACAAATCCCACAGTCCCCACAGTCCCCATAGTCCCATATCTGATAGTCCCCATAATCCACATAGTCCCCATAGTCCCTATAGTTTCCATAGTCAAATAGTCCCCATAATCCCCATAGTCCCCATAATCCCCATAGTCCCCATAATCCCATATTTGATAATCCCCATAGTCCCATAGTCCTCATTCACCGTCTGTGTGGGAGGGCCAGCAGGGGGCTGTACATGGCTTCCTGAAAACATCCCAGCTCCCAGCCTCAGTACTCCTCTCAAGAGCCCCGATGGAAGCAGTGGGCTAGCTCTTGGCAGGAGTTAGTCTTGGGAGGTGTCTAGAAGAAGGGGGCGGAACCAGGGATGGTCAGGATGGGGAGGAAAGAGCAAGGTGATGCTGGTCTGCAAGACTGAAGGGGAGGAGCCGGTACACCTGTGCAAGACTGAAGGGGAGGAGCCGGTACACCTGTGCAAGACTGAAGGGGAGGAGCCGATTCACCTGTGCAAGACTGAAGGGGAGGAGCCGATTCACCTGAGCAAGACTGAAGAGGAGGAGCCGATTCACCTGTGCAAGACTGAAGGGGAGGAGCCGGTACACCTGTGCAAGACTGGAGGGGAGGAGCCGGAACACCTGTGCAAGACTGAAGGGGAGGAGCCTGTACACCTGTGCAAGACTGAAGGGGAGGAGCCAGTACACCTGTGTAAGACTGAAGGGGAGGAGCCAGTACACCTGTGTAAGACTGAATGGGAGGAGCCAGTACACCTGTGTAAGACTGAAGGGGAGGAGCCAGTACACCTGTGCATGACTGAAGGGGAGGAGCCAGTACACCTGTGCATGACTGAAGGGGAGGAGCCAGTACACCTGTGTAAGACTGAAGGGGAGGAGCCGGAGCTCAGCTTTAAAACCTATTAAGTTAATATATTACTATGTACGTTTCTTGCGGAGTCATTTGACTTGAGAGCGATTGTTGAGTCATCCGGAATCGGGAAGATCTTGGCACTGACATGGCCTGACATCACCTCTGGGTTGTACAATACTTGGCATATAAACACATAATTAGATTTGTCCCCAATCCTTCTCCGCAGCAAAACAAAGTCTATGAAACTAAAAGCCGATACAAAGGCGCAGTATGTTCCACGCTTGACCCGTCTTTATGGAAGATGTTGTGAAATAATATGACTGTTCTAGTCACAGGGACTGTGCCAAGAGGCATGAGATGAGACTGTCCATGTGATGTGACCAAGGAGAAGACTGTCCGTGTGATGTGACCAAGGAGAAGACTGTCCGTGTGATGTGACCAAGGAGAAGACTGTCCGTGTGATGTGACCAAGGAGAAGACTGTCCGTGTGTGATGTGACCAAGGAGAAGACTGTCCATGTGATGTCACCAAGGAGAAGACTGTCCATGTGATGTGACCAAGGAGAAGACTGTCCGTGTTGGGTGACCAAGGAGAAGACTGTCCGTGTGATGTCACCAAGGAGAAGACTGTCCATGTGATGTGACCAAGGAGAAGACTGTCCGTGTGATGTGAGCAAGGAGAAGACTGTCCGTGTGATGTCACCAAGGAGAAGACTGTCCATGTGATGTGACCAAGGAGAAGACTGTCCGTGTGATGTGAGCAAGGAGAAGACTGTCCGTGTGATGTGACCAAGGAGAAGACTGTCCGTGTGATGTGACCAAGGAGAAGACTGTCCGTGTGATGTGACCAAGGAGAAGACTGTCCGTGTGATGTGACCAAGGAGAAGACTGTCCGTGTGATGTGACCAAGGAGAAGACTGTCCGTGTGATGTGACCAAGGAGAAGACTGTCCGTGTGATGTGACCAAGGAGAAGACTGTCCATGTGATGTCACCAAGGAGAAGACTGTCCATGTGATGTGACCAAGGAGAAGACTGTCCGTGTTGGGTGACCAAGGAGAAGACTGTCCGTGTGATGTGACCAAGGAGAAGACTGTCCATGTGATGTGACCAAGGAGAAGACTGTCCGTGTGATGTGAGCAAGGAGAAGACTGTCCGTGTGATGTGACCAAGGAGAAGACTGTCCGTGTGATGTGACCAAGGAGAAGACTGTCCGTGTGATGTGACCAAGGAGAAGACTGTCCGTGTGATGTGACCAAGGAGAAGACTGTCCGTGTGATGTGACCAAGGAGAAGACTGTCCGTGTGATGTGACCAAGGAGAAGACTGTCCGTGTGATGTGACCAAGGAGAAGACTGTCCGTGTGATGTGACCAAGGAGAAGACTGTCCATGTGATGTCACCAAGGAGAAGACTGTCCATGTGATGTGACCAAGGAGAAGACTGTCCGTGTTGGGTGACCAAGGAGAAGACTGTCCGTGTGATGTGACCAAGGAGAAGACTGTCCATGTGATGTGACCAAGGAGAAGACTGTCCGTGTGATGTGAGCAAGGAGAAGACTGTCCGTGTGATGTGACCAAGGAGAAGACTGTCCGTGTGATGTGACCAAGGAGAAGACTGTCCGTGTTGGGTGACCAAGGAGAAGACTGTCCGTGTGATGTGACCAAGGAGAAGTCTGTCCGTGTGATGTCACCAAGGAGAAGACTGTCCATGTGATGTCACCAAGGACAAGACTGTCCGTGTGATGTGACCAAGGAGAAGACTGTCCATGTGATGTGACCAAGGACAAGACTGTCCGTGTGATGTGACCAAGGAGAAGACTGTCCAAGTGATGTGACCAAGGAGAAGACTGTCCGTGTGATGTGACCAAGGAGAAGACTGTCCGTGTGATGTGACCAAGGAGAAGACTGTCCATGTGATGTGACCAAGGAGAAGACTGTCCTTGTGATGTCACCAAGGAGAAGACTGTCCGTGTGATGTCACCAAGGAGAAGACTGTCCAAGTGATGTGACCAAGGAGAAGACTGTCCGTGTGATGTGATCAAGGAGAAGACTGTCCGTGTGATGTGACCAAGGAGGACTGTTCATGTGATGTGACCAAGGAGAAGACTGTCCAAGTGATGTGACCAAGGAGAAGACTGTCCATGTGATGTGACCAAGGAGAAGACTGTCCATGTTGGGTGACCAAGGAGAAGACTGTCCATGTGATGTGACCAAGGAGAAGACTGTCCATGTTGGGTGACCAAGGAGAAGACTGTCCATGTTGGGTGACCAAGGAGAAGACTGTCTGTGTGATGTGACCAAGGAGAAGACTGTCCTTGTGATGTGACCAAGGAGAAGACTCTTCATGTGATGTGACCAAGGAGAAGACTGTCCATGTGATGTGACCAAGGAGAAGACTGTCCGTGTGATGTGACCAAGGAGAAGACTGTCCAAGTGATGTGACCAAGGAGAAGACTGTCCGTGTGATGTGACCAAGGAGAAGACTGTCCGTGTGATGTGACCAAGGAGGACTGTTCATGTGATGTGACCAAGGTGAAGACTGTTTGTGTGATGTGACCAAGGAGAAGACTGTTCGTGTGATGTGACCAAGGAGAAGACTGTCCATGTGATGTCACCAAGGAGAAGACTGTCCATGTTGGGTGACCAAGGAGAAGACTGTCCATGTGATGTGACCAAGGAGAAGACTGTCCATGTTGGGTGACCAAGGAGAAGACTGTCCATGTTGGGTGACCAAGGAGAAGACTGTCTGTGTGATGTGACCAAGGTGAAGAATGTTCGTGTGATGTCACCAAGGACAAGACTGTCCGTGTGATGTGATCAAGGAGAAGACTGTCCGTGTGATGTGACCAAGGAGGACTGTTCATGTGATGTGACCAAGGAGAAGACTGTCCAAGTGATGTGACCAAGGAGAAGACTGTCCATGTGATGTGACCAAGGAGAAGACTGTCCATGTTGGGTGACCAAGGAGAAGACTGCCCATGTGATGTGACCAAGGAGAAGACTGTCCATGTTGGGTGACCAAGGAGAAGACTGTCCATGTTGGGTGACCAAGGAGAAGACTGTCTGTGTGATGTGACCAAGGAGAAGACTGTCCTTGTGATGTGACCAAGGAGAAGACTCTTCATGTGATGTGACCAAGGAGAAGACTGTCCATGTGATGTCACCAAGGAGAAGACTGTCCGTGTGATGTCACCAAGGAGAAGACTGTCCAAGTGATGTGACCAAGGAGAAGACTGTCCGTGTGATGTGACCAAGGAGAAGACTGTCCGTGTGATGTGACCAAGGAGGACTGTTCATGTGATGTGACCAAGGTGAAGACTGTTCGTGTGATGTGACCAAGGAGAAGACTGTTCATGTGATGTGACCAAGGAGAAGACTGTCCATGTGATGTCACCAAGGAGAAGACTGTCCATGTTGGGTGACCAAGGAGAAGACTGTCCATGTTGGGTGACCAAGGAGAAGACTGTCTGTGTGATGTGACCAAGGAGAAGACTGTCTGTGTGATGTGACCAAGGTGAAGACTGTTCGTGTGATGTGACCAAGGAGAAGACTGTCCGTGTGATGTGACCAAGGAGAAGACTGTCCGTGTGATGTGACCAAGGAGAAGACTGTTCGTGTGATGTGACCAAGGAGAAGACTGTCTGTGTGATGTGACCAAGGTGAAGACTGTTCGTGTGATGTGACCAAGGAGAAGACTGTTCGTGTGATGTCACCAAGGAGAAGACTGTTCATGTGATGTCACCAAGGAGAAGACTGTCCATGTGATGTGACCAATGAGAAGACTGGACACAGATTGAGAAGCAGCAGATTGGTGACTGAACTGTGTGAGGGATCCGGTATTCACACAGCTAAGAACACAAAGACTACAATACGGGGAAAAGATTTACATAAAAGGTCGGCATTGTAGTCTCGGCCCTGGAAGATGCCTGAACAATAATGGTGCTGGTCTTGAGGCAGATGAAGGCATAGTCAGGAGGAATGGTGGGATCCCTCTGACATGTGATACACCTGAACAGGTAAACCAGACAAGGCAGAGTTTGCTATGAAGTCAGTTCTGTAAATCGCCAACAAGAAGCCGAGCGCAGAATCCTCACGTATGATGAACATTTCTCTTCTGTTTTGTATTAAACTCTCCAAATATTCCAGCCGATCTTCTCCCCGGGGTGAGCCTTTCCGCCCTGCTTACAAGAATGATAGAATAGGATGTCACATGACGGGCGCCATCTGGGGAATAGGCGTGTTTGCGTCATTTAGCTCTCATATAAACAACATATGTGACGTATCTGCGTGTACCGTGCCCCGGGCTACACATATCATAAAAGTCATACAACAGGCGTGTCCAGAGCTCTGTACAGGATTAACGACTCGTGAAATCTGTCATTCCATCCATCCTCAGTATTGTAACTGAAAAAAATATATATATAAATAACAGTTTTGGTTTTGCTAAACATGGCTGCCTCTTCATTCAGATGGAGAATTGGTGGTGCGGCGGGCAGGCTGGTCCTTCCAGGACACACAGATCAGCGGCGGGCAGGCTGGTCCTTCCAGGACACACAGATCAGCGGTGGGCAGGCTGGTCCTTCCAGAACACACAGATCAGCGGTGGGCAGGCTGGTCCTTCCAGAACACGCAGATCAGCGGCGGGCAGGCTGGTCCTTCCAGGACACACAGATCAGCGGCGGGCAGGCTGGTCCTTCCAGGACACACAGATCAGCAGATCAGCGGCGGGCAGGCTGGTCCTTCCAGGACACACAGATCAGCGGCAGCCAGGCTGGTCCTTCCAGGACACACAGATCAGCAGATCAGCGGCGGGCAGGCTGGTCCTTCCAGGACACACAGATCAGCGGCGGGCAGGCTGGTCCTTCCAGGACACACAGATCAGCGGCAGCCAGGCTGGTCCTTCCAGGACACACAGATCAGCAGATCAGCGGCGGGCAGGCTGGTCCTTCCAGGACACACAGATCAGCGGCGGGCAGGCTGGTCCTTCCAGGACACACAGATCAGCAGATCAGCGGCAGCCAGGCTGG